TTAGATATCTGTTTCACTAGAGTCTTAAAAACATTTCAGCAACAGAGAATGGTACAACTAAGATACATTTATAGTGTATAACATAATAAGTACAGCCAAATATTAAGATAAAGAAGGTAAGCATCTTCAAACTATGAGAGAGTAATTCTGTTAAGGGGTTTTGCCAACACGAATCATGAAAGTGAACTCAAATGGTCTGTGTAGTTAGCAGGACCCAAAGATGGAATAACAGCTTTACATTACAAAGTTTACTTTTGTTTATGTAACTTTTCATAAAACAATATTCCAGTACAATACCCTGACGTATCAGCAGCCTCTTTAACATTAATCTTAGTGGAAACAGCCGATATTAAAAAGTACATTGACACTCAGTTAAACAGGGAAATTGCCAATGTACCTTCCTTAAAAAGGGACATTCACATTAAAGTTGCCCTTGCTTGTTTTCTCATTAAGCATCTCTAAACGGAAGAATTATTAAAATGGAAAGAACTGTAAAAACAATCTAAATTGGTTATTATGTTAACTCTGTAGTTTTCTGAACCTGGACAACAACAGAATAAGCAATTTAACTTTTAAATTGTCACGAACTCTCTCAACTGTAAAGTGCTTAGGCAGTAAACAATATTTTCTTACAGTACTTTTAAATACAAATTCTATTAACTGTTTCCACAAGTACTTTCAGAAAGAACGCATAGATATTTTTCTACATATCTTGGGTTTTTAAACAAAAGAAGCTGGAAGATAAATCTTACCCAACTGTACTCATCACAAATAAATAAATAAATCAGCAAATCGCATCCAACACGAAGAGATTTGTATGTACTAGGGATTTTGAAATGCAGGTAATTATGAAAAACTTAGTGGTTACGTGCACCCCCAGTCAGCTTTCTGGGGCAGCAGTGCAGGGTTTGCAACGGCTTTCCAGGAGCTGGCGCGCGCCTGCAGCCCCATTCTACTCTGTCTCATACAGAGGCATCAGTGCAGGGTGGCAGCCAGCTATCCAAGAGCAGAGCAGGAGCCTTCTTGTAACTGTGAACATTAACCGATAAGCCAGGCTTACCAGTTAACCATTTATATCAGCGTTTCCCAAAGTGTGATCCGCGGACCAGTACCAGTCCTTAGAAAAAAGTTTTTTGCGCACGATTCTTGGAAGAGAGCCCACCGCCACGGCGTCTCTGTTGGGCAGGTGCTCCCAGGCTGCAGGGCTAGATCCAATGGGCACTAGGATCCAGGGAGAAGGCCGGGCGCCATACACACCGACGCAGAACTCTGGATGCAGCCGGGGGAGCCTGCGCTGGCCGATAAAGCGGCCGGGATTGGGACCAGGAAGGCGGGGGCAGAACAACCCGCAGGACAGGTAGGGACAGCAACACGCTCCGGGGGAGGGTGCGGCACGCAGTTTCACCCACGAATGCAGGCATGACTAGGGGAGAGGACACGGGGCTACTCATCCCACCTCCAGAGCCCATATGAGCTGAGTCATTCGGCAGGCCTGAGAGGGACCTTCTAACCTTACTGGTCCCAAACAGGGGTGAAGTAGCTATCTCGGGGTTGGGAAACCACCCAGGGCAGTCGACCAGGCCCACTCCTGTTGGCACTGGGGGCTTTGGGCGGACCAGAAATAATATGCAATGAATATGTAAGTATGCAAATAAATGTTACCGGTCCTCCAAAAGCTTGTTTACTGGTCCCCAGTATCAAAAAGATTGGGAACCACTGATTTATACAATTATACATTCACGTCCCTAATATATATAGGCATGTAATTTTTCTGTATAGGTATTAATGTGGCCCTATTACTTTATCTGAATGATTTATAATCCTTAATATTATTTATTCTTCAAACATTCCTGTGATGTAGGGAACCGCTATCATCACATTTTAGTCTGTGACAGAGCAGCAAACTGAATCTGTTTTCTCACCAAGTCCCAGACTAGAGCCATAATCACTGGACCATCCTCCTTCTCTGCTACAGGTTATCAATTTTCTCCTACAGTTATCCATAACATATTGTAAAGTAACAGCAGCCTACAAACAAATGTACTAGCTCAATATTCAAAACCCCAGAAGACAACAAAAATGTATCCCAAACTAGTATTACAACACCAAGCACAGCTTACATGGCAACTAAAGCATTATGAATGAATAACAACCCAGTTTATGTCTTTTCTGAAGGGTCTCATATAAACATCTGTTAATTCCAATCAAGGAGACAACCATTAACTGAGTTCAGCACACAATTGTGCACAACTTTTGTGCATACCCTAACACAAAATGTTTATACTTCCTGGCAACTAAGTATCAGATCCATACTGCACTTGTTTTTAATATGTGCAAGCCCTCTAAAAATTAAGTTGTCTCAAGTCACATAAGCCTATGTATTTGTTAATTTAACCATGACTTAGAAATGAGAACGACAAATATTTGCACCAACACAGCATGGTAAAAATGTTCTTGATTTTGATTAAGGTACAATAATTGCATCTCTGCTACATCATCTAGATATCAATTTACCATTTCATAGTTTTAGTCCTCATATGCTCTCTGTATCTTTACCGCCACAAAGCTCTGGGACAATTTCAGCAGAAACTTCTGGCATACACTTGTTCCAGATTAGTATTGACAAAACAGGTTTTTAAAATATACTTGCCTAGTACCGAAGTAGCATTTGTAGAACCCTGTAGTCCGATTTCCCCCACAATTCTATCACAAGAATAAAAATTACTAAAAGAACTCAACTGTCTTTTTATATGTTTTTTTATTGACTGATAAAAGTCTTGTTTATATATACTAGTTTACTGGATCTTAGAAAAGATGCAGATGTTCTAGATACACCACTGATTTCCAATAAAGAAAGTTCAGGCCTGGCTGCATCCACCTAAATATCAAAAGAACTGCAATAAAAGAAAATAACTTGCCATCATAAAACAAAGGAAGTAGAAGGTTTCAATGGCTTCCTGTCGAGAAAGACCTGTTTGAAGTGTAGGGTAGCAAGCCATTAGCTCAATTTAACCCAGAGACCTGAAACATGCTATTCACCAGCTGGGAACACAAAGACAACATATTTAACAAGTCAGAAGTCAATCAACAGAAGATTATATGAATACCATTAAACACTGGAAAATATTTGTCATATAATATCTCTCCACATTGAGAGCTATTCACTAAAATGCATAGGATTGGTATACACATATTTTAGAGCGTATGGCAATGATGTCGTTGTATATAAAAGTTCTATTACAGCAAATCTGATCTCTAGATTAAACTTCCTCCTTTCTTATTCTGTTAAGCAGAAAACTGTTAGATTCCTTCATTATTTGATCTTCACTCCCACAACACACAAAACAAACAGGAAACTACTGCTTCAAGAATACAATAAAAACAGAATGCACCTATTTGCACAGCTTTGTGTTAAAAGCACTTCTGTATTAACACTAAATAATAACCCATGACAGCTGTTTATTTCAGTGGCATTCTAGAGCATATGCAGAGGATGTATGTGTCTATCTTCTACCTCCAGCCATTAGACTATGTTATCCCTTTCTCCGCCAGGCATATATCATTAACATAAGTCTTTATAAACTTTTTCCTATCCCACCCATCTTCATAGGACTTGAGCAGTTCATAAATATGAAATAGTTTAGTCACACAATAACCCTACAAGGTACAGAAATACTAGTGTCCCATATTACAAATAAGGAATTTGAGGCAGAGAGAAAGGAAACTATCGAGGTTATGAAAGCTGTTTCTATAGCTCACCTTTGCCTTCCCCTTAATATGTGTTGGCAGCATCAAGCACTAGGCTAATGTACTCCTAACATTTAAACTGACCTAACTACATCACTGAGACTGTGAAAGTTTTCTGCTGGAATGAATTCTTCCATAGACCAAACTACCATCTTTCTAGGAGGTGTATTTTTACTACAGCGACTAAAAAAAAATCCCTTCTATTGCTGTGTTTATATATCCGTGGTATAACAGCGGCTACACTGAGATCTGCCTTCCTGGAAATATAACTTTTTCCAAATAAAATGTATGTGGTCAATTTCCGTTAAAACTTGTTGGTGTTTGAACGTTACTTAGACTTTTGCACCGTGTGAACTACAGAGGTATAGGCCAAGTCTGGGGGGGGAGGGGGGAGAGAAATTTTATAATTCGGGGACGGGATGAGACTGATAGTCTCTAGCTTACTTGGACTGCGGCTATGACCAAAAACATAGGCAAGAGGCTCAGTGTAACTGGTGATCACTGCGCAGAGGCGCTCAAAACACGCAGCGGAGCAAACAGCAAAAGGAGGTCTCAGGG